GTTTCACAATTGGCCAATAATAACGTGTTATTCAATTTCATGTGACGACCAATCACGAGAAAGTTATCCTATATGGGGAAGATTGGCTTTAGACGACCCCCACATACGGAAATGATTTGAAGATCGCCGATGAAAGTGGGTTAAAGCGGTGATCATTTCCATCTCTTATTTTTAGGTTAGGGCGCAGTTTTGTATGATAGTGATGGGTGACGAAATTGACGAAATTTGTCGAAATAAATATTTCGTCAATTTCATCACTATGAAAATAATTTAATTGATATAATTTCGTCAATTTCGTCATTGCAAAAATAATTTCGTCACCCATCTATAGTGTATGATGGGATCAGATATAAAGGTCCAAATTTTAGTTAGGGTTAAGTTTTGGGGTTCCGATTAGTACTCTGACATGAATTAGTTAGTAGGTTTTTGGGATATAGTATCCCGGTGATAATCACCGCCGGTCATAGTAATATTCTTTATGCAAATCCTATTTTTTTTTTCTTAATTTCATATTTAAAATTTTGTGTAAATTTTTTGACTTTTATTTACGCAAAAGAACGCTTCAATTAAATTTCCATCGATTGAGAAATTCTATGCGTCGTTTCAAATTTAAGAAATGATCTAGGTCAATTTTTTTTTAACCCGCAGATATGCAAGGTCAATTTGGAATCGATCTAAATCGTAAAATGAGCCAGAACATAGATACATTTTATTATACGTTTTCGTTATTTTATTTCCTGTATTGTAACATTAATTTACATTTAAGCATAAAATAATTTTTAATATTTTGTTAATAAAATATTTTACTCCAATTTTGACAAGGTACAGGGGTAACAGGTCTGCCACTCCTCTCGCTTACTTGAATTTATTTATTTATTGCAACTATGAATTAAAAGATTCTTACTACATTAATTTTTGTAAAAATACAGAACTGAAAAACTACCATAAATGATCGTATACAAGGCTTTCCTATATAATAGGCACCATTATCTTGTTTGCTCATTGACATTTTTTCTAATTTAAATGAGTTTGGATTGTTTGGATATTGTTCCATAACTAGGTTTTAGTCATTAGACTCAAGTACTTTGAAAAAGAAACTCTGTAAGTTAAACTTACTTTTTATCTTTGTTTTTGTTTTTAATAAAAAAAAAAGAAAGGCTTTTTATTCGCATTGCAAAAAAAGCCATGAAAAAAAACTTAAAAATATAACTCAATTCATATTGTGATAAGTATCAATATATTGTTGAATAAAACATTAATATGTATGTGACTTCTGTCATGGCAGTTAAGAATTTCGGATGGCTTATAATCAGATGTCATCTCTTGGATTATCAGAAACTTCTTCTCTTGACATAGAAACAATTTCCGGGACCATACGAACTATACCATCATTTATATTTTTTTTCTTTAACTTGTAACTAAGTAAATTTCTTAAATTATTTTCATTACATGCAAATCTTACCCATTCAACAGTAGTGTCCGGCGCTTTAAATCCGTTCAAATGAATTTTTCTCCAAAGTAAGATTCCTGTAATAAACATAACTATGTATGCACACACCAATATTAAAAAACCAGGATGTATTGAAATACATGATGAATTTATTTGCGCAGTCACATTTTCAATCGACGCCGTCTGGGTATCTTTTACAGAAAGATATGATGCCCAGTGTTCTGGACTATACTCATATATAGACGTGTCATATCCGTTTATTATAGCAAGATTCCAAGATCTTCCAATTAGAACATTAGCTATTTCAACATCTATATTAGTATAGCGACGTAATAAATTATAATCTCCATCTTTACCCTCTTTAACACGCACTACTTTACATGTGTATGCCTTAACAGTAATAGGTACCAATACTATTTCAAAGTCTGTGGCATTATCTGGGTTAAAAGGAACTCTAAACCCTTCATGCACCCTAAGTGTCCATAGTCTGTTTATGTACTCAAATCCAATTATTTCAGAATCATTTCCTCGTGTAAATTCTTCTATAACAACCATGAAAAAGCCATTTGATCGAAACTTTTCAGTACTATTAGTTCTATTATAATATATAGATGACATATAATTACCTCTTATATAATTATACCCATCAGGACTATTACGAAATTTATACTCTACATGAACTTCTGGAAATCCTTCGATTAAGGTAGGGATTCCATATAGGACAGAAGTGTTCATATTACTTGGATTGATCCGGATATATAAAGTGAACATGAAGTTCTCAATGGGTAACGATCAACATCAAAGCGAGCATTGTATTTCCAGCGAGTGTCTATAGGAATTTGCCCTACTATTATGCCACTTGGTACGCCACTCTTACTTCTTTTCTGCATCATTTCACTTACTTCTGCATAAGAACCTGCTGCTGCTCTATGATTACTACTCACTATTTGTGCTTGTGTTGTCACAGTAATTTCCTTACACGATTCTACGTAACTTATAGAATTTATGACAATGATACCATCAAAAATTGTAAGTGCTAGAAAAAATAGAACCATTAAATTAATAATTATCACCGTTGTTGTCCACACCGAATACAGAGATATCATTTTAAAAATATCTATAATATTGGTTGGTACTATAGTTTCTATGATAGGCACCTCATTTTCATTAAGAAATTTATCTAGCATCCGAGCTTTTACAATGCTAGTCAACAAGAATGACCATGCTAAACCAGCAATATTAAGTATAAACCCAAACACTGATTGCACTTGGCTTAAAGTTAACGTGGTTTCAATTTCAATACCCATAATAAAGAATTATAACATGTTACTATTTTTTATATAATTGTTGTAATTAACTAAAGTTTTAAATTATAGACAAAATCCCACGTATTTATGCATATTACAAACGATAACATATAGGGGTAAGAAATTACAAATAAGGGCCCGAAGTAAAAATAATTGCATAAGTTTACAATTAAGGGCCAAAATAACTTTGCATTATGATGACAATGGTTCTTTGAACGTTATCACTGTATATAAGTATTACTTTATATTTTTATACTATGTCCTTTCGTTTAATAAAACTTTTATTTAATCAAGATACAATTCAACTAAGTTAAGCATGATATTTATCAATCTTGTAATGTTCATTCAGTTCTAAACTAACATATCTATCCTATACCCAAACTAATTAATCATATTTTATGAAGGTTATTATGCTTAATCGATGATATTTAGAACTGAAAAAAACTATCTGTATCGCAGAGATATTTAAATTACTTTCAAAAATTGGAAAAAGTAGGTATAATTTTTGTGCGCAAGATGTTAAGAGAATAAATGCTATACTGATTAAAAGTAATATGTACGTTTAACTGTCATAAAAATTATATTTATATAATTTAAATGACCTTTTTTAAAATTTGGACCTTTATATGTGACTATTTTAATTTTGGGCCCTAGTTTGTAATTATTTTCATTCTTCGGGTCTTAAACATAAGTTCTCCTAAAGTATACTTTATCACTAAATCAAAGATTCATTAATGAAACTTAATGTAAACTTTTATTGGTAAACTTAAACTTTATTGATAATAATTTTAGAGACTTAAAAACGGAGACATTGATCCGTGGATAAATAGAACGTATATTGTGTTAGAAATAAGATTCTTGATAGTCCTGTGTTACAGAACCACGTATCATAATTCTATATGGATTTTTCTATCTGGTTATTAATTTTTCCTACTAAGGATTTTTTTATACACAAAGCATCCATGTATAGGAATGATAAAAAAAAACAGTTTAAATCATTTTTATACGGTTGTAAAGAATACTACTAGAGTCCTGCATGGGTCGGGCTGGTGTTACTAAAGTGGGTTAGTCATGGCAAAAAAAATGACTTCCGACTTCTCAGACTTACGCACTTACGTAGCTTTATATGTTATGTTAATATATTACAGTATTATTAAGTTCGGAAACGATCGTCTATCACGTGGTTTCGACATTTTTTTTGCTACAACGAGGAAGAGACTTTCCAACTGTAATACCGATTTAGTTACTGGTTGTAAGGATTAAAGTATTTACTAATAGCAAAAGAATGCACCTTTATATATATAAGCAAGTAAAAGGAGCTTATTCAAGAGCACAAGTCGATTATATCCAAAAGAGAACAATGCAATTCCGCAATAAAATGAGAACTCTGCTTTACAGCAACAAGTAACCCCCTTTTATATAGCTCTATTGCTATTGTCCTCTAATTAGTAATAAAGCACTTAGGTAATTATATAGTAATTACTATTACTAAATAAATGAATTATGCGAGAAAAGTGTAACGAAAAAAGCTATTACATAACACTGGGCTGGATATTTTGAAATCCAGATCTAGCCCGGCTAGAACCATCCTAGCATACCCCTAAAAAAAAGTTACGTAACTGAGCTTAAATTTTCTCCGAACAATTTCATTTTATTGCATATTAGCAAAAAATTATTTTATTACAATTCAAATATAAACTTCGAATAAATAAGAATTTTCCTTTAAAAAAAATACCTTAACCAATTAATTTATTTGTATTTCAACAAACCACTTATTTATTTGAAAATTTGCTTATACTACAATTGAACTTTGAATAAATAGGTATATTTATATAAATTCATCGTAAAGAAATATAATTTATGCAATTGTTTATACTATTTCAACAAATTATTTATTTATTACATACAATGAAAAAATACTTAAATTATGTTATTCCCAATAAAATGTATTTTTATTTCTTCCTACCCATGTTTTTCTAGAATTTTTTGCATTTTCTAAACTTTTCAAATCATTAACCATTTGTTCGATTTGTTTAAAATTTGGTTCAATATTTCTTAGCCATTTTTTTTGTTGAGTAAGTTCGGATGATTTGGAAATAAAGGTATTTGCCTAATAAAAAACATGTAGCAGTAGATTAATAATATTACTGTAGAATTATTTTATTAAATATCATTTTAACATCATTTAATATTTTTGATAATCGTGCAACAGTTTCAATTGTACTTTCATTATTGCTAGAATCTTTTTCTTCATCCTCTGTCTCGCTAGTATCACCATTAGTTGTTAAAGACATATCAATATCTTTGTGCCATGAATTGGTAAAATTATTTGTTAATAGATCTTGGTCTTCTTTAATTAATTCCCAAATAGTACGATCAGTTCTAGATATAAGTGGATAAGTTTTATTTCAGCATACCTGTAATTTTGAAGTTAATATAATAATATATAATATTAAATTTAATTAATAAATAATATAAATTTATACTTTATGAAAAAAATCGCTATTCATCATTCCAACAGGTACGACAAGATGCTTGCATATAAAAAATCTACTTTTTAAAAATGTAGGGCATGAACAAATCCAATTAGTATGATCAATCAAGTATTTGTTTCGGTTTACAATTTGTTTTAATGCAAGTTTTTTTCATTCTGATTTAAGATCTTTATGTCATGAAGATAATTTTCTATTATTAATAAGAAGGTTATATCATTGAATTTGTCCTGGAATTGCAAAATTAGTAAAAATAAAACAGACAAGATCTAATCTTGGTCTGTTAAATTTATATAAATGATCACATTTTAAAATTCTCCAATGTGTTTTGACAATCATTGTTGTTAATAATGGAGATAATTCTGAATTTGATGACACAGCCCTTAATTTTCAAATTTCATTAGGGTACCATTCATTCCACATATAACACCATACCTCAAATAGATCGTTTGTATAACAAAACTCAAACATTTCTTTAACTGCATATATCCAAATTTGTTGTGAATCTTGAATAAATTCTTGATTAATTGTTGGTATTAGCATATGTTGGTGTAAATGTTTTTCAACAAGTTCAAGAATTATATCTCGATAAGAATGCAAACAAAAAACTTTAGGCTATATTTGTTGTGATAATCTTGTACTTGTCCATGATGGATTAATAAAAGAACATTGACAGTTTGTTTCAATTGGATTATAAGAAATTTTACTTTATTTTGATAATGAAAGTTTTTGCATTATAATACGATTAACATGCCATTTGCAAAGTTGTATATTTGTATTTCTCCATATAGCCTGAGCACTTGAAACTTGGGCAAAATCTTTATCTGATAAAAATGTTTTAACATTATCTATTCCAATATTTCACAAATATAAAAACCATTTTGTTAAAATAGATCTTATATCTCAATTTTTGCCTGTAGCAACATATTAATAAGAAACTGAAAATCCAGTATAATCAATAGTAGCCATTATAATATATAGTTCGTATCTTAACCTATTGGTATTATAGGTTGCATCGATTAAAAGATATTCATATACTATTTTTGGTAAAAAAGAAAAAAATAGCATTAAAAATGCAAAATAATCAACAGGTTCAGATACATGAAAAGAATAGTATAATTCTTTTCTTGTAATAAAACTTGCGCAGACAAAGATTCATTATCAACTCATTTGTATTGAACTATATTAGCTTTTGACCACCAATAATAAACTTGATCTTGAGTTAATGTTTCAAAACCAGTCATTCAATTTGAAACAATTTTTTTATATAATTCAGCCGCTGTATAACTTGAATTATTTGTAATAAATTCTTTTATATTATTTGTAACATTAATATTTTCTGGCCTTAGATGCAAAATTCAATGACTTATTTTAAGAGTAGACAGTATATAGATCAATTTTCATATGATCAACACGTGATTTTAAAAATTTACTATAAAATTGAAAGGTGTTACTAATAAAACTTTTTCAAATCGATATTTAATATCTATATCAAAAACATCACCCGCAGCTTTACTGAATCTTTTATCCATTAATAGAAGATAGTCCATCTTTGCTAAATCTTCGAAATAATAAATAACTTCTTTAAAAAAACTAATAAAATTGTTAATTCGATTATATTCTCTAATATGAGCACGATAATTGTCAATCGAATCGATGGTTGCATCTGTAATAATGAGTTTTAAAAAGTATTTTATAGTTATTTTTAATCGATCATAAAGAAATGAAAGCACATAGTACATCCGTTCTTTAAATTCGGCTGTGTTATAAGTGTTTCTCATTAAATCGTCACAAAGGCTTAAAATCAGATTGCTTAAATTTTCATTTTGATAATACGACATATTCAATGTTTTGAAATTTTTTATATTGAAATAAACATCGTATAAAATTTTTATTTATATTCAAGAAATACTTTTGTTTGCAAATTTAGTTAAAAAAAATTTTTAATTACAGGCTTTTGTTTATTGATATTTGAAAAATGGCTTTGTTAATTACAATTTTGCAATTGTCTAACCTTATTCATTTATTTGCATACAATCTTAACCACAATCATCTACAATTATAATTGCATACAAGATCGTAATTGCATACAAATATGATCACGATCGTAATTGCATACAATCATAACCACGGTCATGATTACATACAAACACGACTATGGTTTGATTGCATACAATCGCGACCAGGGCTTAAATTACTACAGTAATTTGCTGGCATGTAGCTTATTGTTTAAAGTGTTTTTCTTGATTCATTAAATTATATATCTAATTGTTTACTATATCAGCTAATTGATTTCTAATATAATATAGATCAAGAATAACAATTTTGAATGGCTGGCATTTCAATATGATCGTTTAAGCCCTGATCGTGACCACAATCATGATTGCATACAATCACAACCACAATCATGATTGTATACAAAACGATCATGATCGTGTTTATAAATCACGAACTATCAACCTATAAGCATGTTAAAAATATATAAAGCATGTTAAAAATCTAATTTCG